TAAAATAGAGTAATAAATATTATTTTTTTATTAATTATCAATTATTTTTAATAATTAAATTAAAACTTAAATAAAATAATAGGTCATCATAACAGCATTTAAAAAAAAAAAAAAGTCAAAGTGATTATGGCTGATTATGGCTAATTCTCTGGAATTTGCATACGGGATAAGATGAAATTTTCTAATGAATCCCAACAATTGTTCAAATTCGTTGAGATATATTCTCAGTTATTATTATCTCTAAAGTAACAATCTACCCATTAAGCTACTATAAATAAGTACTCCATTCCAGGTACTCTCAGCATCACTACGCTCACTCTCCCATTCCTTACGAAATGGCAACTTCCTGTCTTCTTCCATGCATTGCTGTTCTCTTTCTAGCTGCTTGTGCTTCAGCATCTAGACAACTCCCCTTGGGTCCAAATCATGGTGATGTCCCTAATGATTTTAGCCATGTTTGCGACCCGTCGAGATTTAGACAGCAGGGGCTGGACATGGAAGAGTTTGCATACTGCGACAAGTCCCTTTCTTACCAGGTCAGGGCTAAGGATTTGGTAGATCGACTGACACTGGATGAGAAGGTGCAACAGATGGGAAATTCAGCAAAAGGTGTGAGCAGAATAGGCTTGCCAAAGTATGAATGGTGGTCTGAGGCATTACATGGGGTCTCTAACGTCGGTCCAGGCACCCACTTTGACAATTCTGTTCCTGGTGCAACAATTTTCCCCACTGTTATACTTACAGCTGCATCATTTAATCAGTCACTTTGGAAAAATATTGGCCAGGTATATGTAAAAACAAATTTCATCTAAAGATAAATAAATCTTCTTTTAATGAATTAATATTTTAGTGTTTTTTTTCCCCTTTCTTTAGGTTGTTTCAACTGAGGCTAGAGCCATGTACAATGTAGGAAATGCTGGATTGACCTTTTGGAGTCCTAATGTCAATGTGGTGAGGGATCCTAGATGGGGAAGAGTTACTGAAACAGCTGGTGAAGATCCTTTTGTAGTTGGCACATATGCTACTAATTATGTAAGAGGCTTACAAGATGTTGAAGGAGCAAAAGATCCCTTGGATCCAAACTCAAGACCTCTTAAAGTTTCTTCATGTTGCAAGCATTATACTGCCTATGATGTTGATGCTTGGCAGGGTGTTGATCGTTACCATTTTAATGCACTGGTAATTAATTTCATGATGAAATTTGGTCTTTTTTTGTTAACGAGGAAAAATTATTTAATTGAAACGGAATACAAGTGTACTCTTGCCCATGACACAAGTTTAGGATGAGATTTGCCATTTTTAGCTAACCTTATTTTCAATTTACCATTTTTTGGCTTTCCTCTAGGTTTCTGAGCAAGATATGCTAGAGACCTTCAATCGTCCCTTTGAGATGTGTGTCAAGGATGGTGATGTTAGTAGTGTTATGTGCTCTTACAATCGTGTCAATGGAATTCCTACTTGTGCTGATCCAAATCTTTTAAAAGGAACGATTAGAGGGGAATGGGACTTCCATGGCTATATTGTCTCGGATTGTGATTCTATTGAAGTGATGGTAGATGGCCATAAATGGCTTGATGACAAAGGAGATGATGCCTCTGCACAAACCTTAAAAGCGGGTATATATACTTTTTCCTATTCTCATTTGTCACTCCATCTGGTGCTCTTCATACATAATTACATTGTAATTTGTTTTCTTTATATTCAGGTTTGGATTTGGATTGTGGAAATTTCTATCCAGACAACCTCAAAAGTGCAGTTTTAAAAGGAAAAGTTAAGGAAGCAGAAATCGATAGGTCATTGAACTACCTTTATGTTGTGCTAATGCGGCTTGGATTCTTTGATGAAATTCAACAATACAAGTCTGTTGGCAAGGGAGATGTGTGCACTAAGCAGCACATTGCATTAGCTTCACAAGCAGCCAGAGAAGGAATTGTACTTCTTAAAAATGAAGGTGGAGCTTTACCATTGAGTTCTACTAAAAAATTGGCAGTAATAGGTCCACATGCTAATGTGACATGGTCAATGCTTGGAAATTATGCTGGTATCCCTTGTCGATTTGTGTCTCCACTTGATGGCTTGACAACATTTGGACAAGTTTTGTCCGTGGTTGATCATGTGATTTACCAACAAGGATGTGTCAATGCTAAGTGTGATAATGACTCAATGATTTTCCAAGCAATGAAAGCTGCTGAGGATGCAGATGCCACCATACTTTTTGTGGGAACGGATTTGTCCATTGAAGCCGAGAGCCTAGATAGGACGAACCTTTATTTACCTGGTTATCAAACTCAATTGATCAATCAGGTTGCCGCAAGTTCAAAAGGCCCAGTGATTCTTGTGATCATGTCAGCAGGTGGTGTTGATATTCAATTTGCTAAAGACAACGAGAAAATTAGATCAATATTGTGGGCTGGATGGCCTGGTGAAGAGGGTGGTCTTGCAATTGCTGATGTTATCTTTGGGGGCTACAATCCAGGTAATTATTTTTTATTTTTTTAATTTTATTTGCTTTTGGAATAACATCAAAATTTTAGCTAGTTGTTATTTAAAATTCTCATAAACAAATTGTCAGATTTTTTTTGGTTTTTAGTAATATAAATATACAAAATATTTTTCTTTTCAAAACTAAAACAAAAAACTACAATCATGAATCTTTAATATTTGTCATTTTTGATCATTTCAGGGGGGAAGTTACCAATCACATGGTATAAGAATGAATATGTCGACCAATTGCCCATGACATCCATGCCATTGAGGCCAGTGGATGATTATCCAGGACGAACGTACAAATTCTATGATGGTCCTACAGTATACCCATTTGGCTATGGAATAAGCTACACAAATTTCACATATGAATTAACATCTTCACCGCATTCGCTTCTCTTCAATCTGGAGCCGCGCCAACACTGCTACCCCCAGAACCATACCAACAAGGATCAAGGCTCGCAGTGTCCAGCAATCATCATTGAACATTCGGAATGCACTTACTTCATTGATGTGGAAGTCACAGTGCACAATGTCGGAACGAGGGATGGAAATGAAGTTGTCATGGTGTATTCAGCTCCTCCACCCGGGATTGATGGGGCTCCTATCAAGCAATTAATTGGTTTTCAGAGGGTTAATGTTGCTGCTGGTCAAAATGTAAAGGTGAAATTCTCGTTCAATGTTTGTGACAGCTTCAACATCATTGATGCTGCTGCCTACAATCTTCTGCCGTCCGGTGCTCACAAAATCTTGGTGGCTGATAAATCAGCAACACTTGAAGTTAGTTTTGATTATTAGTCTGTTTGTTCATCTTTTTAGGAAACTCAGTATCTATTTTTTGTAAATAACATTCCCTAATCAGGTTTGGATGTAAATAAAAGCTTTATGCAAGTGAATAAATTTTTTTGTTTCTAAATTCTTTAAAATTTATTTTGTGACAGAAAGTATATGATGTCTTGCAATTAGTTATAGCTTGAAGGTGCCTTGACTCCCCCTTAATAAACAAATAATAAGGAACAAATGAATAACAAATTTGTAATATTAAAATTTTCATTTATTTAATTACATGTCATAAATAATTTTATTCAAGTTGTGAGCCTCCACCGATAAATCCATTCTTCAAACAATTCTTTTGGTCCTTCTTAGCCAATACAATCTCCAAGTTTCTCACCAAAAAATGTATGAACTAAAATTAACAAAAGAGAATTTGACTCAATCATATGCAGATCCTTAACTTTTTATAAGTTTTTCCATTGAATCTCTTTGACAAACCAACTCTTCTATCAAATGTAGACAACTCATATATAATCTAAGTTGCTGCGAATCATTCCACTGAAACTTCCATGTTTGCCACTCAACAAGATTTGTTGAATTCTTAGTTTGATTTTATACAATGCTTTAATTCCCCTCTAATATCTTAATTTGAATTGTTTCATTCTTGAAAAATAAAAATGAAACAAATTTAAAGTTTGTCCATTACAATATAACTCAGAAATGTTAAAATGATAGGAATTCAAGGTACTCGTTACCAATATTTATATGGTATTCTAAGTAAAGAGTAAACATGAAACCCCCAACTAACATTAATAGATACAAAATGAGTGACATTACTTTCATGTATAATTCACTTTACAGTTTCCATCATGAAATAGAAGTCACCTGACAAAAATCCTTTTTTTGTTTTTTTCTTGGTTTGGACTTTGGACATATGATTCCAAGCCTATTTTTATCTATCTTGAGATTAATCTTTCTCCTGATAATCTTAATAGTACACCCCTTACCCTACATCAATGTAGTTTAATACATTTTAGTAAATTAATTTTATTGAGTATTGACCTCAAAACTTAAACTTGACCTACAAAACAATATCTTACCAATAAATCTAGCCCTTAGAATAGACATTGACATGGTTTAGAATTACCCCCTTACTATTGCTAATACACTGATTTTTTTTTTTATCAGCTTACTATATACTGATTAATCAAAAAATCTAAACATTGAACCCGCTACTTTGAAACTGAGGCAGTAAGAGCTTTAATTAAATTGGTACCTACAAACTAATTTCAACACATTAAATGGCGATCAAGTTTAGCATTTAAATAATCTCCATAATAAGTACCTTTCTTTTTTAACAAAGAAAAATATGAGGATACAGAGAATACAAAGAAAAACATAAAGAGGGTTTTATTAATTGCCGGTGAACTGGTGAAGGTGAATATCTCATTCCCAAATTTCCACCGAACATTGTTTAGGAACTGTTTCAGAGGTCATTTTTAAATATTAAATTAAAATCAACATTTATATTTTTAATAAAAATTAATTATAAAAAATATATTTATCCCATCATTATCCTGTATCCTAAGAAAAATCCTGTATTAAAAACACTTTTCCGTGTCTTATGTTTGAATTAGTTTTGGAAGGAAAACAATAGGTATTTTAGAAAGGGAAATGCTATTGAGACAACCATTTTGTCCCACATTTTTATACAATCTGACATGTCATTAAAATGATTGATTCTTTTAATTCATGTGAAACCTGTGATATTGAATACATCCACTCATTTAATGACATGTGAAAGTTGTACAAAAAGATGAGACAAAAAGGTGCTTCCAATAACATCACCCTTGTAGAAAGGAAAAAAAAATTATATGCAAGTTCTGCAAAAAGCATTGTCCGATAATTCCTCAACATAAAAATACAATGATCCATCAACTAAAACTTCAGGTGAAAATTTGTACTGACTAGTTACAAAAACAAATCTTCCCTAGCAAAGCTCATAACAAATATAGATAATAGAACCCAAATCATTAACAACTACGGAATCATAGCCAGTATTTTGTCATTTGGGGGGTTTGCTTTCCAAAACAATAAAGTGGAGTTAAGGAGAAAGAACCACCAGGTGTTGGTGCAGGTAGACACACCTCGCTGTTATGTTCAGGGCGATGAAGATACAAGCTTTTTCCATGGAAGAAAATTCTCACAAACCATTATCTTGGCTGCGTGTATCCCAAACTGACTAACTTTTCCATCAGCTTCTTTTCAGCATTTGCCTAAAATCCCAAGAAAAAAAGGGTAAACGTGAAATTAACAACATCATGTTCCAAAGCATGCAAGAATATGCCATGGCAGATGAAATTATTAGACAATGCTCCTATGTTTACTTGAATTGGAAAGAGGGAGAACGGCTATTAGAGCAATTAACCAGTAATATGCTTGTCTTCCCAACACCCTCACTATCCATTAAGTTCTCCTACAAGTCTGGATATGGCTTCAGGCCAAAAGTTAAAAACTTGTGTCAAATGCAAAATGAAAATCTTAAACTGTAAAGGGAATGTGAGAATACTGAAACAAACAATCTCTCCAATACCAGTACGAGGTGAAAACATAACCCCGAGAAAAAAAAAATGACAAGATTCTACCAACAAGAAACTTCCAAATGCATTATTATGACTTATGAAAGGAGACACAGAAAGAATGATAGAGGAACAAATCAAACCTCAAGCATGGGGCTATTCTTTGGGATACTGCAAGCAAGAATTACGTTAAGACCAGTTTTCAACACTGCCATGGAAACAAAAAATTGCATTTAGCCCACAATCAAAAGAAACAAAACAAAACACATTAATACAAATTTACCTAATCGCCTAGCGATTCCAGACCCGGTGTTATCTGAAGAACCTCCGAGAATGGAAGCCACACCGATCGTGTTGCTCTGTTTCCTCCATCAAAGCAAATGACAATTTAACCAGTATTCATTATCAATTATTAATCCCTAAATTTTGAAGGTTATAATCTTACAGGTCGTGTCGATGCAGCTGCGTACAAGTCACCGAATTTCGTAGAGTTGCAACCGATCCATGCATATATCTGTTCGTAATTGGAAAGCGATCAACTTCTGGATATAAAAAAGGTCAGAAATTCAACTAATTAAATATCGATACCTGTTTAGGGAAACGAATGATTTGCAAGTGGAAGGTAGCGTCATCGACTAGCTCGCTAAAGCAGGTGATTTCAAGACCGCCAGCGGCGGCGTTGGCTGTGGTGGTAAGGTGCGTTGACTGATCTTGGAGTTTGAGAGACTGATCGGAGACTAGGTCCGGGTTCACAGCACCGTCGTACTCTGATTCTCTTCCAGCCATTATCGTACTGCAGAAGCTCCAGCAGATGACACCGGGAGAAAGCCCTCTCTAATCTGGGGTTTATGCTCGCTGTTCTGATCAGAAAATTGGAAGAAATAGGCCCAAACTAACAGAAAATAGAGGCCTAATTTGTAGTCAAAAGGCCCAAAAGAAAGAAAAGGACTTTTATAGGCCCAAAGGAAAATATAGAAGCCATTCATGTATTTATTCAGAATACGTAACATGATTTTTTTATTTTTTTATATAATGATAAAATATACAATAAGAGATAACTCTTTCATTTTCAAACCCCTACACACCCACGTAACATGATATTACCATCTAGAAGTAGTCAAACAGGTAAATAATTGTGTGAACTTCTAAGTTCACTTATTGCCAAACCCTATAACAGCAAACATAACATATGATTTAAATGGAACACGACTTTCACTCTTGATAC